AAGTCAGAGTCCAGACAATGGGCTAGGGAGCTTGAGGTATATTTAAGTTTCTGGAATAAGCCTACCAGGTGGTTAACAGTGGCTGGTTACCTCTGGAAGGATGGGAATCGGAAGGAGAGATCACTGAGGTTGGGGATTTTTATACACTTTAGTGTTTTTGTATAATTAAGAGAGACAAATGTGTTCTACTGTGAGGTACATGTTAATTGCGCCCAAGACACATTAATCACACTATCATGCCTGTGCGCAGCCCGTGAGAAATCAGGCCTGTCTGCTCCTGGTGTGATGCACTGACAGCCAGGTGGGATCAGGTGGGATGGGGTGGGATGGGGTGGGTCAGGGCTGGTGAATGGGGCATGGTAAATCCTAGGGAGCTTGGCTGTGAAGCGCTCCCTCCTCCCTTCCCTCTCTGCTGTGTTTGGCTTCCATTCCTATACTTTTCACTTTTTTGGTTACTTTTCCATGTTTTGTCTCTCTTTCCAATCAGCCTGAGTTTTAAGGCTAGGACTCTGGTATTCTCTTATCACCAGCGTCTCCCACACAGTTTAGTACATCTCTCAAATAAAACAACATTTAGTAAACTCATGAACATGACATTTCTTGTGCGCTCTCTCTCCCTCTCCCCACCTCCTGTGCCTCCTCACTCTCCCTCTGGCAGCCATATGGGAGAGGGGGAGTAGAAGAGATGGATAGGGTAAAAGAGAAATGCAGACAATGGGGAAAGAACCCTTTCCAATTTGAGAATTCTACCAATTATTAAGAACTGTAGAAATTCATCAATATGCCATTAAAAGGAATGAGTGTTTCAAGTTTCTGTAAAATGAGAAAAAGGAGATTTTCCTTTAATGAGACAAATTGTGTGAATGAGCTGGATTTAAAATATATACACCTCACTTAGAACCTAAAACTTGTATTTTGTGTTATAATTGCTTTGTAAACTTTATATAGGTGTGCTTCACTTTGAAAATGTAAAATATAGTCATGGTTAATGTGTAAAACTATAAAACATATCAATAAGGCGGTACCAAGTTATGAAAGGACTTTGGCCACCTGCAGATGACACAGAACAGTATTTTCAGAGCTCGTGAAGAAGACCATGGTTGCTGGGCTCTGCCTTCACTTCGGGGTAGTGTGATGTTTGGAGAAACAGTTGCTCAGCAGTGCGGGAGGGCTTGCCTCGTAAGACCAAGCACACAGGCAGCCCCAGAGTCAACAAAGATGTGAGTGTGGGCTGGCTGGGGAGAGAGGCCTGGCAGAAAGTGGGGTGAGCCGAACACAAGCTCCCGCCTCGGTTCCTGCAGTCCACCCGAATGGAGGCAGCTTGCACTTTGGTATCCAGTTCTAACTCCCCACCTTCAGTCCAAAATGTGCTTCCCTATGAATGGGACTTGACAGTCTTCAGTTGCCCAGGCCAGAAGCCTGGGTGATTGCAAATGCTCCCTCTTCCCACCACTACCAGCGACTCTCTAAGGCTTGCTGGCTCATCCTCACGTGCCTCAGTCCACCTGCTCCTGGCCTCACTTCAGCTCTCACTGGAGCTCTTGGGATCAAGACCAAAATCCTTAATGTGGTGAATGAGTCAGATATAGATTCAGCTGTGAGGGAGAGAAAAACCCAGAACACAAATGGCTTAAACAAGATAGAAGGTGGGAGATAGGTGCTCCAGGACTGAGACCACCTCCTGAGGAGGTCAGGGCCAGGATCTGTCCTCTGCTGGTCTGCTGTCATTGGCACATGGCTGCTCCTCACCATCCCAGGTGGCTGCACGCAGCTTGCAGCCTGTAGGGGGAGGAAGGGTGAGCCTGTAATCACTTTATTGTATAGTTTCTCTGTTCTTGAGAGGCTTAAAACCCTGGACTTTGGAGGCCACAGGATTCAAGCAATCTAATGTCTGGCTGGCCTTGACAGGTTACTTAATTTCTCCTGATTGAGTCTTCCTTCAGCTCTGATATAGGTAAAATAGTAATTTATACTAAACATGGTGGTTATGAAAAGTAGAGAGATAATCCACAGAGTTTAGCATTGTGCCTGGCACATGTACAATAAATGTAGTAGTGATTATTTTTATTTTTTCCTGCAGGTCTGTGAATTTTTCTAGACAAAGTCTTGCTCTGTTGCCCAGGTTGGAGTGCGGTGGTGCCATCTCAGCTCACTGCAACCTCTGTTTCCTGGGTTTCAAGTGTTTAATATTTGGTATTTGTCACCAAGATGCCCCAGTTTGTCTGGGGTGGTGATGCTGTCCCCTGCCTGCTGCGGGGTTTGTCTGGAGTGGAGACGTGGCCCCACGTGTGCTGTGGGATTGCCTCTTGGTAGCTGCACCCTGTTGCTCTCTGGGTCACTACACAGTTTACATCAGGCATCTTCATAGAGCTCTGTGACACTGCTGTCTGTCTGCAGTGCTGCTGCCACGTTGGCCACAGGTGAGAGGTGGGAAAGGCCACACCTCTCTGCCTGCTCCTCCCCAAGCTCCCAAGGTGCTCCCACAGAGTGAGTGTGCCAGGCCTCTCCAAAGGGTCTGAGCATTGAAAGGAATTGTGAGAAAATGTTTAATTATCCACTCAGTCAGATGATTCCTCACAGTCTAAGGGAAAATGAACTTCCTTAAGAACAGCCCAGGCCCTGGCCTTGCTTCCTTTTCAGGACCTTCTCTCTGCTTTTGGTTTGTTCTCTGCCAGGGTTCCCTGGAATATGCAGATGGCACTTCCAGCTGCCTGACTGGGGAGTTTAAGATTATTTACAATGGAGTGAGCAGGGGTTAGAGAAAGCAAAAAGGGACAGGCAGCCTCCTGGGGTTAGCAGCAAAGAGGAGCCCTTACCCTCGCTGACGGTCTGGGGAAAGAAGTTACCAGGATGCTGAGGAAGAGCTGTGTGGAGCTGGCCTCCAGATGGAAGCTGTCGCCTCTGGCACAAGGAAATGACCAGCCTCTCAAGGAAAAGCCCGGGTTCTGTGTGCCCATTCGCACTCTCCTCTCCTCTCTGATCACCTGCCAGCTCCTGGCATAGGTGGTCTCCCTGGAAGATGGTCAGCTGGAGATGCTTCTGACCCATCCATCGAGGTCAGCCTCTGGGAGCACAGAGCAGAATGCAGGAAAGTGGAAAGTGGACCTAGCAGGGCAGATGGAAACTACCCAACACAAATCTTCCACTCCTCAAAATCCCTACTCCTCAAAATCTCCACACCCACCTCTTATTAGAATACCAACCCCTTCTACCAAGGACTGATTTCACTCTAGGGCACAGCCTTCAATCAACGGCTCAGTCACCCAGCGGTTCTCCCAAAGCCTGCTATTCAGTCATGAATAATAATGTTGGAGGGTTGAGGGCAGGAAGGTCAACTTTGGCCAGCCTGTGGGGTAGGGGAGGGACCTTGGCACTCCAAAGACCGGTTCCTTCTCAGCTCTTCTTGCCAATGGGAGGTGAAGATCTGCCTGTTCTCTTCTTCTGATCTCAGCTCACTGCAACTTCCGCCTCCTGGTTCAAGCAATTCTCCTGCCTCAGCCTCCTGAGTAGCTGCTATCACAGGCATGCACCAGCATGCCTAAATAATTTTTATAGTTTTAATGGAGATGGGGTTTTGTTCTGTTGGCCAGGCTGGTCTCGAACTCTGACCTCAAGTGATCCACCTGCCTCGGCCTTCCAAAGTGCTGGGATTACAGGTGTAAGCCATCATGCCTGGCCCAAATTTCCTCTTCTTACAAGGACACCTGTCATTGAATTACTTCTTACCCACTCTAATTACTTCTTTTTGATTTAATCACATCTTTACAGACCCCACCTTCAAATACGGTTATATTCTGAGGTAACAGGGGTTAGGACTTCAACATAGGAATTTTGGGGGCAGGGAACACAATTCCATCTCTAACCTGACTGGCTCAAGTATACATGTATACATTCCCCAGATTGACAACTAAGTTGATAAAGCCATGTTAAAAACAAAAACAAAAGCCATGTTTCTCTCTACCACATTATCTATGGAGATCCCCCAGCCACGGGAGTGATGGCCAGTGAGAGACAGGGCTCCTTACAGAGCCATCAGCCTCCCTGCAACCTCCAAACGACCACTTCACCTTAGGCTACATGCAATCTGCAAGCCGCGCTTCTAGCCCCACTCAAGTCCAAAACAAATCCCCAGGGATGAATATGGGCTCCACGTGGGTGGTGGGATGAGTGATGGTTGTTATTTTTTCTTTCCTCAAATATTTACTGAATATCAAGTACTGAACTAGGTAGGCGAGGGGTGGGGGTCCATGGAAAAAGGCAGGGTCCCTTCTGTCAGAGTGGAGACCACAGACAAGGAAATAAGTAATGTGCTAGAGTCATCACTGCAACAGCTCTGAAGTCCGGTCCCAGGGGTCACACACTGTCCCAGTTTTGGCATCAAGCCTCGGGCAGCAGCAGCACAGACTTCCCCTTCCCTCTGTGGGGATTATCTCCACCCATGAGTGATGTTCCTGTGACTTGACCCACAGCACACACTGTGGACACCATCTGCTCTGCCTAAATGCCTTTGGGTTCCTTTTGCCCTGAGGGTGTGCCCGTTTGCAAGCTTTGCTTCGAAGGCCTACGTCAAAACTCTTCAGAGGGCTGCCCTTGGGCTACTGGATACACTCTGTCCAGGTGCAGAAGCGGGTGCAGAGCCCGAAGGACCTAGGACTTTACTTCTGCCCCCATGCACACTAGCCTACAGACCTTTGCCAATGCTGGAGTAGCATGACAGCCTAGAGGAGGGACAAACTCAGGGAAAGATTTACAGTCAATCCCCATTATTCGCAGATTCTGTATATGCAAATTTGCCTAAGCACTAAAATTTATCTGTAACTCCCAAATCAATACATATGGTGTTTTCACTGTCGTTTTTGGATGTACCCAGAGCAGTGAAAAAAATTGAGAGCACTACAGCAGCTGAGGTTGAGCAAGGCAACCTTCTTGCCTTGTTTCAGCTCTCATAACAAGTGTCCTTTTTGAGGTCTATTTAGTGCTGCAGTTTTTGCATTGCTGTGTTTTTTGTGGATGATTTTGCTGTTTGCAATGGCACCAAGAGCAGTGCTAAAGTGCTGTGTGGTGTTCCTCAGTTTGAGCAGGCTGTGATGTGCCTCACAGAGAAAACACATGTGTTGGGTAAGCTTTCTTCAGGCATGAGTTATAGTGCTATCATCCATGAAGTCAACGCTAATGAATTAACACTATTAAATAAAGTGTCTTTAAATAGAAACACACATAAAACAAGGTTGTGTATCGATCAGTTGACAAGTATGTGATCAGACACTCACAGGAACCTAGTCCCGTATTTCCCCTAGGAGCAATGTTTCAGTTTCACTAAATGTCCACAGCAACTTTACAGAACACAACTGCTGCCAAGAACAGCAGTCCACTATACATTCCAGAGGTCCCTTTGTGTTCAGGCTGAGGCTGGGACGTTGCTTGTCTTCTCCCTATTACCTCCCTGGCTTCTCCCATTCTTAAACCAGCTTCTCCTGGGAGCACTTCCTTAATAAATAACTCGCACAAGAATCAACATCTCAGTCTGCTTTAGAGAAGTGGACCTGAAATAGAAAGGAAGCATGCTTCTCTCTTTGCTCCAGGAAGTTCCTTACCCCCTGTTAAAACTGATCCCTGCTCTTCCTCAGAGACCAGCCCTGTACAATGTGAGTTACTACCGAGGAAGGAGACCCAAGCATCTAAGATCACCTTCCCCTTAACTTCCACACTGCATTTCAATAGAAGTAAAGGCTGGCTGACCGGGTGCCACCTTAATCGCCTTCCTATAGATAGTAGGCATGGTATGGGGGAATCTTTCCGGAAGGCATTGTTTTTACTTCAACAAGATCAAACCCCCATCCCATGCCTACTCCATGGACCAAGACCCTTTTCATATGTAATCTCTAAAACTGTAAAGTCAAGACTCTTTCACGTGTAATATCTAGAGTTGTAAGCCTATATAAAGGCAAAATTTCTCTTTGTTAGGTGAGCTTGGCTATTGGGCAGCTGTGTGACTTGCTCCCGGCTGAAATAAATCACTCCTTCCTTCCTAGCTCAGTGTCCGAGAGGTCTTTCTTGCGGCCGCTCCTGCTTCATTTTGGTTCCCTGACTGGAAACCAATTTTCGTTGGCGGACAGCCAGCACAGGCTTTCAGGCAGTTTGCCTAGCCCTTCAGAGCATCCCTGTGGGGGGCTCCCGCCTGCTTGGGTGACACGATTCCTGAGAGTGCTCCCGGGCAGGTATTGGCCTGGTGGAAAGCCTTATCAGAGCAGAACCAGGAAGCCCCCGCAGTGTGGATCCACCCAGTGGCTGAACACCGAGAAGGAATGGGTACTTAGACAGTCTGGACAAAGAAACACGGTAGGATCGATCCAGGGAAATTTGCCCACCTCCTTTGGGGGAAGCATGGCCTGATGACCCACGTGTGCCAGATTTGGCGCTCTTGAACTTGGCCCTTTCTCTCTCTCTTTCTGTACCTAACCTTGGAAGTTTGGATTATGATTTTGATTTGGGTGGAGGGAGGAGAGCAATTGTGTGAGTGAGTGGAGGGGTCCAACTGGACTCATCAGCCGTGGGAGCAGCAGGCCCATTAGAGGGGGCCCTAAGCTCCGAGCAACTTGTGGGGCTGGTTGGAATTAGAGATGTCCACATAAGACTAAACGGAGGAGCTCTCACAATCTAGGTGTTGTGAGAGGGTTAACAGTCTCTCTCATACCAAGTAGCGTCTGAAATAAGAAAGAAAGGCGATTCCACCAGCCTGAAGTGAATGTGAATCGGAGTGTGTAGTGTGTCTTGATGGGTGGGAACTGCTGTGAGCAGAGTAACCCTCTTTAAACCGTGAGGACTGTCTTTCTGTGCGTAAACATGGGTCACACTCATAACAAGCCCACTCCTTTAGGGACCATGCTGAAAAATTTCAAGAAGAGATTCAGTGGGGACTATGGAGTAACTATGACAGCAGGAAAGCTAAGGACTTTAGGTGAGGTAGACTGGCCAGCATTTGGGGTGAACTGGCCCTCAGAGGGGACCCTGGATGGGTCTCTTGTCTCCAAAGTATGGCATGAGGTTATATGCAGCAAACCAGAACACCTGGATCAAATTCCGTACATTGATTTGTGGTTACAGTTAGTTAGTGGTTAAGAGGATAGGCAGCAGCTGTGCTGGTGGTGAAAGGACAGACAGCTAGGAAAAAACCCCACTCCACCCGCCAAGAGACAAGGACTCCCAAGGTCCTGGCAGATTCAGTGGCAGAGACACCAGCTCCTAAGGTCCTGGCCAAACTGACAGTAGAAGAGTTTTTGCCAATAATGCCCCCTCCTCCTCAAGGACTCCCTGCCCTTGGGCCTGAAGCTGCAGCACCTCACTAGAAATGCACACCCCTAAACCACCTGGAGTAGAAAAAAGAGAATGCGAAGGAACTCCTCCCATTGCCACCTGCTTCCTGGGAGGAATTCCCCCTCTGGCAGCCCGTCTGCCACCCAAGGCAGAGGTGTAGATGCCTTTAAGAGAGCAGAGGTATACAGGAGTGGATGAGGATGGCCACAAGGTAGAAAGGCGGGTTTTCATGTACCTGCTGTTCACCTTGGCTGATCTTATCAACTGGAAAAATAACAAACCATCTTATACGGAGAAGCCACAAGCTTTCATTGACCTACTGCAAACTATTATTCAGACTTATAACCCCACTTGGGCTGATTGCCACCAGCTGCTTATATAGCTTTTTAACATGGACAAAAGGTGGAGTGTACTCCAAGCCACTTCCAAATGGTTGGAGGAGCATGTTCCTGCAGATTACCAGAACCCCCAAGAATATGTCAGGGTGTAGTTACTGGAGACTGATCCCCAGTGGGATCCAAACACTCCGGAGGGCATGCAGAGGCTAATCTGGGACAGAGAGGCCTTAGTGGAAGGATTAAAAAAGGGAGCCCAGAAGGCTACAGACATTAACAAAGTCTCTGAGGTTACTCAAGGAGAAGAGGAAAGTCCTGCACGATTTTATGAAAGGCTGTGCAAGGCCTATAGCATGTATACTCCATTTGTCCTGACAGCCTCGAAAACCAACACGTGATAAATATGACATTAGTCAGTCAGTATGCAGAAGACATTAGGAGAAAGCTACAGAGGCAGGCAGGATTTGTGGGCATGAATACTTCACAGTTATTGGAAATAGCTAACCAGGTGTTTGTGAACCGAGAAGCAGTTAAGCAGTAGAGAAAGTTGTAGAGAAAATGAGCGTCAGGCTCGATGAAATGCTAACTTGATAGATGCTGCTATTAAAGGAGGGCCCCCAAGAAGGTGGGAAAAGGGGGCTCCTGGAAAGCCACTCAGTCTGCTTGCCCGTGCCTGCAGCATGCCCAGTGCGCTTACTGTAGGGAAGTGAGGCATTGGAAGGACAAGTGCCCCAGTTAACAGGAAAATGGTGATCCTAAGCATGAGGATTCAGATGAAAGTGGAGGAGCTCTGTTCAGTCTAATGGAAGGGCCACTGGACTGAAGGGGGGTCGGGATCATATGTCCCCAAAGAGCCCATAGTCCAGATAACAGTCCTGTAACCCCCCCCATCAAAGGAAATAACCAATATTGCTGGAGCTACTGGGGTGTTAGAAAAACAGTCTTTCTGTTTGCCTTGGACCTGTTTGGTGGGAGGCCATAAAGTTACACAGAAGTTCTTGTACTTGCCGGACTGCCCCTAGACCCCTTGGGGAGAGACTTGTTATGCAAACTAAGGACTACTGCTAAAACTGCCTCAGGCAGGCATTATCAAGGCTCTCACAGTCTCTCCGGAGGTGGGGTGGCAACTCTTCCTAACCAAAACAAAAATTAACCCCTTGCTCTAGCCAAGCAATGGCCACAGGTCCAGGCAGAGGACAGTCTGCCAGGCCCCTGTGCTCATTAACAGTCAAGCCTGGGGCTCAGCCGGTTAGGCAAAAGCAATATCCAATTCCCGGAGAGGCCCTAACAGGAATTCAGGTCCACCTAAAGCACTTAAGGGACTATTTATAGTTCCTTGCCAATCTCCGTGGAACACCCACCTCTTACCTGTTCCTAAACTGGGGACCAGTGACTACAGGCCAGTGCAGGACTTGTGTCCCGTTAATCAGGCCACAGTGACTTTGCACCCAACTGTGCCTAACCCATACACACTGCTGGGATTATTGCCAGCGGAGGACAGTTGGTTCATCTGCTTGGACTTAAAGGATGCTTTCTTTAGCATCAGGCTGGCCTCGGAGAGTCAGAAGCTCTTTGCTTTTCAATGGGAAAATCCAGAAACAGGTGTAACCACCCGGTACACCTGAACCCAGCTACCCCAGGGGTTCAAGAACTCTCCCACCATCTTTGGGAAGGCACTAGCCCATGACCTCCAAAAGTTTCTTGCTAAGGACTTAGGCTGCATGCTGCTCCAATATGCTGGTGACTTTTTATTGGGACACCCCACGGCAATTGGGTGTGCTAAATAAATGGATGCCTTACTTTGGCACCTGGAGGACTGTGGGTATGAAGTGTCTAAAGAGAAAGCCCAGATTTACCAACAGCAAATGTGATATCTGGAGTTCACCATCCAGCAGGGAGAGTGCAGCCTAGGAGCAGAAAGGAAACAAGTCATTTGCAACCTGCCAGAACCCAAAACTAAAAGGCAGGTGAGAGAGTTCCTAGGAGCCGTGGGTTTCTGTAAATTGTGGATTCCAAACTTCACAGTACTGGCCAAACCCCTACAAAAAAATGACAAAGGAGGGGGAGACATAAACCCCTTAAATGGGGACCCCAGCAGTGGCAGGAACTGAAAGCGAAACTTTTACCAGCCCCGGCTTTTGGGGCTATCTGACTTAACAGAGCCTCTTACACTGTATGTGTCAGAAAGAGAAAAGTGACAGTTGGAAGTTCTAACATGAGCCTTGGGGCAAAATTTAAATATCAAAGCACCCCACACAGTAGTGACTCTAATGAATACCAACGGACATCACTGGTTAACAAATGCTAGGCCAACTAAATACCTGAGCCTGCTAAAGTGAAAATCCCGCATCACCACTGAAGTCTGTGCAACACCTTAAGCCCTGCCATTTTGCCCCTGGTGCCAGAAGGCCCATGAAGTAACCCGTGTGCTGCTTTGAGACCTCATTCCTGCGTTTGGACTGCCACTGCACATTGGATCAGACAACAGACCTGCATTTGTGGCAAATTTGATCCAGAAAACAGCAATAACCTTGAGTATTAGCTGGAAACTGCATGCTGCCTACTGACCACAGAGCTCCAGAAAGGTGAAGAGAATGAACTGGACCATCAAAAATAACTTAGGGAAAATGTGTCAGGGAACAGGAATAAAGTGGGTGCAGGCACCTCCCTTGGTGTTAGTCAAAATTAGATGTACTCCCTCTAAGAAGACAGGATATTCCCCCTATGAAGTCTTATATCATAGGCCCCCTCCCATACTGCGGGCACTCCCGGGAACTCCTCAGGAGTGGGGAGAGACTGAGCTAGGACGACAGTTACAAGCTCTAGGGAAAATCACTCAGGATATTTCAACCTGGGTAAATGAGAGATGTCCTATAAGCACATTCTCCCCAGTTCACCCTTTCTCACCAGGTGATTGCGTGTGAATAAAGGACTGGAATGTGGCCCCTCTGAAGCCATGGTGGAAAGGACTCCAGACCGTGATCCTGACCACTCCCATAGCCGTAAAGGTAGAGGGAGTCTCAGCCTGGATCCACCGCAGCTGTGTGAAACCAGCAGCAGCTGAAACTTGGGAAGCTAGACCAGGCCCAGAGAATGACTGCAGAATCACCTGGAGATGGACAACAAGCCCTGCTCCAGCCACATCCCGGAAGCTGGCTGGTCCACACACAGCCGAAGCACGAGGAAGTTCATTGTGGGACTTATTCTTCTTAGTATTTGGACTTGTACAGTAGGGACATTAACTGATTTTGAAGAATGCTGTCAGTGTGTACACCAGGTAACTGAGGTAAGACGTAAAGTTACTGCCATTGTTTCATTCTACAGTTATTATGAATGTGCAGGGACACAGAAGGGAACCTGCTTATATAATGGTATTCAGTATAAGGTGTGTAATCCAGGGGATGGACAGCCTGATGTCTGTTACAATCCATCAAAACCCCCATGCATACGACTTTTAAAATTAAACTCCTAACAGGGCGATGGAACAGCCCTACTAATAGCTAAAACAGAGGAGAAGGGAAGCCCAAAACAGGTCACCCTAAGGTCTGATGCAAGTGCAGCCATCAGTGCCTATCATTCCAGTTGAGGAGGCTATGGTTCCCTCGGATGGGAACAAAGTTACACAAAAGAGCATCAGTATATCTGCCAGAGAACCTACGGGTGCAGCGAATGCACTTATCGATCATGCCTCATCTGGGCCACTTGAAAAGATAAAAATGATCCTGTTTGCCTTGTAAAAGGAAGGGACACCATTCCATGGGGTAATGTCCCCTGTGTCTCGGGACATTGTAACCCAGTAGAATTAATGATCACAAACCCCCAAGACCCTAAATGGGAAAAAGGGTAGAGTGTAATGCTAGGAATTGATGGGAAAGGGCTTGATCCCAGAGTCAGTATCCAGGTTCAGGGAAAATCCAAAAACGCTCAGCCCAGCCAGCGTACCAGCCCTTCTAAAATATATTAAATAAGCCAGTGCTGGGACTTCTGAAAAAGACAAAGAACTTGTTCCTCCAACTTGCTGAAAATGTAGCCCATTCCCTTAATGTCACTTCTTGCTGTGTATGTGGAGGAACTACTATGGGTCATTGGTGGCCATGGGAAGCCCGTGAGTTATTATCCTCTGATCCTGTCCCTGACCTGACCTCAGTTCAAAGAATTCAAACCAACAGTTTCTGGGTTTTAAAGGATCTGATTATTGGACAATACTGTTGGAACAGAGAAGGAAAAGACTTCACAGTGGTTATGTTAGGAAAGCTTAGCTGCCTAGGGCAGTGACTGTATAATGGAACAGTGGACACTGCAACCTGGTGGAGCTCAAACTACACAGCAAAAAACCCCCTCCTAAGATTTCCAAAATTACAGGATGCTTGGAACCATCCTGGGTATCGGAGAAACGGGACGGCCCGGGCTGGGTTGTACTGGATATGTGGACACAGAGCATATGTACAACTGCCTGAAAGATGGACAGGTAGCTGTGTCATAGGCACCATTAAGCCTTCCTTTTTCCTATTGTCTGCCAAGACAGGTGGGCTGTTAGGACATCTAGTCTACTCCGCCCAGGAGAAAAGAAGTCTAAAGATAGGTGAATGGGAAAATGCTAAGTGGGCACCGGAAAGAATTATTGAGTACTATGAGCTGGCCACATGGGTGGGGAATGGCTCATGGGAACACCAGACTCCTATCTATATGCTCAATCATATCCAGTTGCAGGCTGCCTTGGAAATACTCGTTAATGAAATGGGCAAAGCTTGGTCCATTTTGGCCGGATAAGAAACTCAGATAAGAAATGCGATTTATCAGAACTGGTTGGCCTTAGATTATTCGCTAGCAGCTAACAGAAGAGTCTGTGAAAAATTCAGACTAACTGACTGCCGTCTACACATAGATGACCAGGGTCACACAGTTAAGAATATGACCAAACTGGCACATGTGCCTGTGCAGGTATGGCACAAATTCAACCCTGAGTTCTTAAAGATTGGTTCTCAACCTTGAGAGGATTAAAGACCCTCATCATAAGCGTGGTAACAATAGTAGGTGTTCGTTTGCTACTCCCCTGTTTTCCCCCCCTTATTCCTCTAAATGGCTAAGAAATTCTTTACTACCGTAATAGACCAGAGAACCACATCACAAATGTTTTATATGTGTCATTATCAATCAGTTTCTTCAGAGGATCATAAAAATAAGAGTGAGAACTCTCACTAATGTTATAGGTGAGGTTCTCAAAGCTGGGAATGAGGAAGGAGACCCAAGCATCTAAGACCACCTCCCCCTTAACTTCCACACTGCATTTCAATAGAAGTAAAGGCTGGCTGACTGGGCGCCACCTTAATCACCTTCCTGCAGATAGCAGGCAAGGCATGGGGGAATCTTTCCGGAAGGCATTGTTTTCACTTCAACAAGATCAAACCCCCACCCCATGCCTACTCCATGGACCAAGACCCTTTTCATATGTAATCTCTAAAACTGTAAACCGAAGACCCTTTCACGTGTAATATCTAGAGTTGTAAGCCTATAGAAATGCAGAGCTTCTCTTTGTTAGGTGAGTTTGGCTATTGGGCAGCTATGCACCTTGCTCCCCACTGAAATAAATCACTCCTTCCTTCCTAGTTCGGTGTCCAAGAGGTCTTTCTCGCAGCTGCTCCTGCTTCACTAGGAGGGCAGCCATGGTCAAGCTACAAAATAACAATGTCATGTTCTGTGATTGTTCAGACAATGGACTCCCACATTTGTTATGATGGTCCTAGGAGACGAATTTAGCATTCAGGAGAAGATATGATCCAGTTGCCTCCAAGACTAGAAGAGCAGCATATACAAATACATAATGCACATTATACACAGTAAATAGGCTTCCACAGTGATTCTTCCCAGAACAAAAGAGGCCTGACCCAAAGTGACTGTCTTTCCGTAAACAGCACAGGGGTATTTTTCAAACAACAGGTTCACTCCTTAAATAAGGATTTAATTTCCTCATCAGCAAAACCTTATCACATTTCAAATAACATCTCAAATCACCACCGTCTATCCTCCAAGCTCTTTTACTTTTATGTCTTCATTGTTATTTGTATAATTTTATTAATAAATAATCTTTGTTGTGTATTAATTTATTAGGTATGTGTCTTCCTTAGCTTTTCAGCACCACTGCAACCATGTTTTGATTTATTTCAGATTTCCAATCTCTGACCTTTCACACTGTCCCTTACACTTTCTTCACTGTCTCTTTCCTTCCATGCCCAGACTGGTTTCATAATCTACTAAAACAATTCCTCCTTTGCAAAGGCCCTTAACACATGCATTGGTCTCCTGCCACTGAATGCAAAAGCCAAAACCCCAATCCATGTTGAACCTAACTTCTTTGCAACTCAGAAGCAACTGACCTCTGTTGGGGAAAAAAAAAAAAAAATCAATCACATAATTGGCTGACTGCTTTAAATTTAATGTATGATCTTCAAACTTAAACAGGACTTACCATTGTCTGATAATCCTTCGTTTTACTGGTAGACTTGGTCTTTTCATCACAGACAACTGGATCATATCTTCTCCTTTCCTACTCTCACTGTAGGCCCACCTTCAGCTCGTGATCTTCATTCACATCTAACTGAGAAAACAGAAAGCTGAATTAGTTACCTAAGGCTGCTGTGAGGGTTAATACTGAGTGTCAACCTGACTAGATTGAAGGATGCAAAGTACCTTGATTGATCCTTCAATAAATTTGCATATCAGTATGTACGGTGTTCTCAACGGCTAAATTCAACATTAACATTTTAGTCGAAGATAGCCGTTTAGGAACAGCTCAGGATTGCAGCTCCCAGTGAAAGCGCAGAGGGTGAGTGGACGCCGTGTTTTTATTGCCCACAGGCTAGGAAACTCCCGGGCAGAGGTGCTCCACGGTCGCCAGCGCGGCTGTGCCGGCCAGCGCCGCTGCTTTGCCCCGCGCGGCTGCTTTGTCGGCGCCCCGGAGCCGCGGTTCTCCGTACAAAATACACTGGTCCGGGGGCCCTTTAGGCTGGCGATTGGAGCCACGGGAAGTCGCCCATACGCTGGTTCAAAAAGGGGACTGAGCAGAGAACCAGGACAGTAGATTCCAGGGCAAAAAAAAGAAAAAAAAGCGCCACAAACCTCAGTGCCGCTGTTTAAGCCAGCGCAGTGAGTGGCCGCAGGGGAAAACAAACAGACCCCGGCGCCTCTTCAACAGGCGACTGGAACACCAACTTAAAAAAGGCTCTGAGGCAGGGAGCCAGGCGATCAGGCTCGGCTGGTCCCACCCCCACAAAAGAACAGCAACCAGAAACTCTGGATTGAGAGTTTCCAAGCAAGCGCAGCTGAACCCGGGACGGTCCAGCTCTGTGGGGGAGGGGCGGCAGCCCGCCGTTGCCAAGGCAACCCGCCATTGCTGAGGCAGCCCGCCGTTGCCAAGGCAACCCGCCACAGCAGAGACTCCACCCCAACAGAGGCGGGCCACCATCGCCAAAGCAGTTCTAACTACACCCATATAAACAGGACTGCAGGGAAGTTCACTCGGCAGTGGGGCGGAGCCCACAGCAGCTCAGCAAAGCTGCTATAGGCCGACAGTGACTAGGCTGCCTCCTTGCTGGGCTGGGCAGGTCTGAAGGAAAAAAAAAAAAAAAAAAAAAAGAAGGCAGCAGCATAACGGAAACTCATAAATAAAGCCCTAAATCCCTGGGACAGAGCACCTGGGAACAAAAAGCAGTTTATGAGTTCTGCTGCAGCAGACCTAAAAGTACCTGCCTAGCAGCTCTGAATGAACAACAACAGAGCTCGCAGCTCACCGTTTGAGCTCCTATAAAGAAGAGACCATCTCCTCAAGCAGCTCCCTGACCCCTATATATCCAAAAAGACACCTCATAAAAGAGAGATCAGATTGACACTAGGCGGGTATCCTTCTGGGACAAAGATAGCAGAAGAAGAAAACTGGTAACAACCCTTGCTGTTCAACAGCTGCTGCAGGTGAACCCCAGGCAAGCAGGGCCTGGAGTGAACCTCAGCAGACCTACAGCAGGGGGGCCAGACTGTCAGAAGGAAAACCAAGAAACAGAAATAACCTCATCATCAACAAACAGAACGTCAATCTGAAAGATTTGAGACCCAATCTGAAAGCCAGAAACTACAAAGTCGACAGGTGGATAAATCCTTAAAGATGGGAAGAAACTGGCGCAAAAAGGATGAAAACACCCGAAACCAGAACACCTCTCCTCCTAAAAGGGATCACAACTCCTCACCAGCAAGGGAACAAGGTTGGATGGAGAACGAGTGTGATGAAATGACAGAATCAGACTTCAGAAGGTGGGTAGTAAGAAACTTCTGTGAACTTAAAGAACATGTTCTAACCAAATGCCAAGAAACTAAGAACCTTGAAAAAAGATTTGACGAAATGCTAACAAGAATGGACAAAATAGAAAGGAATATAAGTGAATTGATGGAGCTGAAAAACGCAACACGAGAACTTCGTGAAGCATGCACAAGTATCAACAGACGAATGGACCAAGCAGAAGAAAGGATATCAGAGGTCGAAGATCAACTCAATGAAATAAAACGGGAAGGCAAGACTGGAGAAAAAAGGGCAAAAAGGAATGAACAAAGTCTCCAAGAAATGTGGGACTATGTGAAAAGACCTAATCTACGTTTGATAGGCGTACCCGAATGCGACGAAGAGAATGAATCCAAGCTGGAAAATACTCTTCAGGATATTATCCAGGAAAACTTCCCCAACCTAGCAAGGCAGGCAAACATTCAAGTCCAGGAAATACAGAGAACACCACAAAGATATTCGTCAAGAAGAGCAACCCTAAGGCACATAATCGTCAGATTCACCAGGGTCGAAATGAAGGAGAAAATACTAAGGGCAGCCAGAGAGAAAGGTCGGGTTACCCATAAAGGGAAGCCCATCAGACTCACAGCAGATCTCTCAGCAGAAACCCTACAAGCCAGAAGAGAATGGGGGCCAATATTCAACATCCTTAAAGAAAAGAACTTTCAACCCAGAATCTCCTATCCAGCCAAACTAAGCTTCATAAGTGAAGGAAAAATAAAATCCTTTAGGAACATGCAAGTACTCAGAGATTTCGTCACCACCAGGCCAGCTCTACAAGAGCTCCTGAAAGAGGCTCTACACATATAAAGGAACAACAAGTACCAGCTCAACTAAAGGGCAAAACAGCCAGCTAGCACCAAAATGGCAGTACCAAATTCACACATAACAATATTAACCCTAAATGTAAATGGACTAAATGCCCCAATCAAAAGACACAGACTGGCAAGTTGGATAAAAAGACAAAACCCATCGGTGTGCTGTATCCAGGAAACCCATCTCACATGCAAGGATACACAGAGGCTCAAAATAAAGGGATGGAGCAAGATTTACCAAGCAAATGGAGAGCAAAAAAAAAGCAGGAGTTGCAATTCTTATCTCTGATAAATTAGACTTTAAAGCAACAAAGATCATAAGAGACAAACAGGGACATTACATAATGGTAAAAGGATCAATGCAACAAGAAGAGCTAACGATCCTAAATATATACGCACCCAATACAGGAGAACCCAGATAGATAAGGCAAGTTCTTAATGACTTACAAAGAGACTTAGACTCCCACACTATAATAGTGGGAGACTTTAACACCCCATTGTCAACATTAGACAGATCAACCAGTCAGAAAATTAACAAGGATATCCAGGACTTGAACTCAGACCTGGACCAAGCAAACCTAATAGATATTTACAGAACTCTCCACCCCAAAGCCACAGAATATACATTCTTCCCAGCACCACATCACACCTACTCTGAAATTGACCACATAATTGGGAGTAAATCACTCCTCAGCAAATGCAAAAGAATGGAAATCGTAACAAACAGTCTCTCAGACCACAGTGCAATCAAGTTAGAACTCAGGATTCAAAAACTAACTCAGAACCGCACAGCTTCATGGAAACTGAACAACTTGCTCTTGAATGTTGACTGGATAAACAATGAAATGAAGGCAGAAATAAAGATGTTCTTCGAAACTAACGAGAATGAAGACACAACATACCAGAATCTCTGGGACACATTTAAAGCAGTCTCTAGAGGAAAATATATAGCAATAAGTGCCCACATGAGAAGCAAGGAGAGATCAAAAATTGACACCCTATCGTCAAAACTGAAAGAGTTAGAGGAGCAAGATCAAAAAAACTCAAAGTCTAGCAGAAGACAAGAAATAGCTAAGATCAGAGCAGAACTGAAGGAGATAGAGACACAAAAAACCCTTCAAAAAAATCAATAAATCCAGGAGCTGGTTTTTTGAAAAGATCAACAAAATAGACCACTAGCCAGATTAATAAAAAAGAAAAGAGAGAATAACCAAATTGATGCAATAAAAAACAATAAAGGGGATATCACCACAGATTCCACAGAAATTCAAACCATCATCAGAGATTATTACAAACAACTCTATGCACACAAACTAATAAACCTGGAAGAAATGGATAAATTCCTGGACACTTGCCTCCTGCCAAGCCTAAACCAGGAAGAAGCCGAAACCCTGAACAGACCCATAACAAGGTCTGAAGTTGAGGCAGCAATTAAGAGCTTACCACCCAAAAAAAGCCCAGGTCCAGATGGGTTCACAGCTGAATTCTACCAGACATACAAAGAGGAGCTGGTACCATTTCTTCTGAAACTATTCCAAACAATACAAAAAGAGGGAATTCTTCCCAAATCATTTTATGACACCAACATCATCCTGATTCCAAAACCCGGCAGAGACTCAACAAGAAAAGAAAACTACAGGCCAATATCCATGATGAACATAGATGCAAAAATCTTCAATAAAATACTGACAAGCCGATTGCAACAGCACATCAAAAAGCTTATCCACCATGATCAAGTAGGCTTCATCCCGGGGATGCAAGGCTGGTTCAACATACGCAAGTCTATAAACGTAATTCACCACATAAGCAGAACCAAAGACAAAAACCACATGATTATCTCAATTGATGCAGAGAAGGCCTTTGACAAAATTCAACAGCCCTTTATGCTAAAAACACTCAATAAGCTAGGTATCAATGGAACGTATCTCAAAATAATAAAAGCTATTTATGACAAACCAACAGCCAATATCATACTGAATGGGCAAAAACTGGAAGCATTCCCCTTGAAATGTGGCACCAGACAAGGATGCCCGCTGTCACCACTGCTATTCAATATAGTATTAGAAGTTGTAGCCAGGGCAATCAGGCAAGAAAAAGAAATAAAGGGCATTCAAATAGGAAAGGAGGAAGTCAAATTGTCTCTATCTGCAGATGACATGATTGTATATCTAGAAGACCCCATCGTCTCAGCCCCAAACCTCCTGAAACTGATAAGCAAGTTCAGCAAAGTCTCAGGATACAAAATCAATGTGCAAAAATCACATGCATTCCTATACACCAATAACAGACTTAAAGAGAGCCAAATCAAGAACAAACTTCCATTCACAATTGCCACAAAGAGAATAAAATACCTAGGAATACAACTAACAAGGAATGTAAAGGACCTCTTCAAGGAGAACTACAAGCCACTGCTCAACGAAATAAGAGAGGACACAAACAGATGGAGAAACATTC